TTAAATTATATACCTATTGTTGTTACCCTACATTTAACACAGCACGTGTAGTAATTTAATATGACAGAAAAAAAGTTATGGGTGATTCTACAAAAGTTGGGCAACTTTTGACCTCATTTTGTTTTTTGGTCTGTGTTTTGTTCATATAGTTTTCGGAGAAAATTAAACAGTATTTTGTTATGAGAACATAGATAATATAATAAATATACTGTTCCAGACCGGGCCAGTCACTTTTTTAAACAGTTTCCGAAATATCTGTGTTTTCTAAATTTGAATGCATGCAAGGGAAGTGACAAGTATACAAGGGTACTAATTAAGTACATAATTTATTGGAAAATATAAGATTTATTGCAACTTTGAGCATATTATACATTAAATATCTTAAAATCAAATAATACCTACCACAGATCAGTGGCGGCTGGTGGATTTTGGGAATACCCACACCAAATTTATATGAGATTATAATGACATTAAATAAACAAGTTCTGCGCAAGCAGAATTTAAATTGAAGTTTGCGAAAAAAAGATAACCGAAACATCCATCAATACAAATTTGAGATTGTAATTGGGAATTAAGTATTTTACTGATATTTTTTATTAGTGGATGCTACTTTTCAACAAATTACAATGGAATATATATACATAAAAAAATAACTACTCACCACAGTACTGAAATTTTGACTGGAACTATAAGTGCATTCACCACAACTTCGCCGCTTGCATTGTTTTCAAAATGACTGTCGTGCACTTGAGTTAAAACGAGGACTTGACGTTTAAACTTCAATATTTCGCAGGAATTTTAAATTTTAACATTGAACATAGAACTGACGGGTAAAAGTGAGTACAAAGATTATCATTTTTTAAAAATTGCTATTATTCGAATCTATAATAAACTATGAAAAATACATTATTAAATGTTTTATAATTTGTAGTGAAATTGAAAAATTTAAGATAAATTGAATATATTTTAAAATAAAATCACTCAAATATTTGATTCAGGAGTTGTGAAACGCCAAGGTACTGATGTTTTGAATATTTATTATGTTTTTCTACAAACGTGCTTTTGAAAAAATACATTAAAATTGGGTGGACAAGTTAAAAAAAAACTGGATCTTTTGTAATATACTAAAATATTTATAAAAAATATTAAAATACCTACTCTATTGACTGTTGACATCAAGTTGTCCAACTTTTGTAGAATCACCCTTATTCAGATTTCGATTATGACTCGACTTGCAATTGAATTCCAAACCACTTGTATCCTTTTTTTTGCCAACTGATTTTTGGACCAAATTTTTGGTGTGTCATTTACTTGAAATCGCTTATTTTTGAACGAGTGGAGAGTTTGATTAAAAGTTGCCTCGGAAGTGAACAATTCAAATCGCACATGTTTGACTAAAAATTTATTTGTACAACTTTTAAACATTCTAAGCACACTTGTAACACATGGATATGGTCGCCCTTCTGCCAATTCCGCTACATCCCGCTAGTTGATAACAATTTCCAGAACAACACCCCCCTTGTCCAGGATCACAGGCTCCTCCACCCCCAATGCAAGCCAAAGCCACATCTTGAAGGCACATGGTGGCAAACAAAACCAAGAAAATTAGGCTTAGGTATTTCATGTTGAAGTTCTGACTGAAAAAAAAATACTTTTGTCAGATTGATTAACATGACTTTGTAGTTTGTTAATTTTATTTTCTAAAATTTTAACATAATTTTTAGGGTTTTTAATTATTTTAACAAAGGAAAATATTTTACCGAAAGTTTTGTAAGCAGTTTGTTAATTTCAAAGGTTACAGATTATTTTGTTAATGTTAAACAAATTATTTTGTTAAAAAAGTACACGTAATTTCAGTCAGTCAATCAAAAAATTTCCCACTGGCAATACGCACCAACTATTTAGTTCAACTGACTTCAGCGTCTGCAACTTATGTTTCTGTTTATTTTATTCTAATTTGTAAAGTGTTCGTTACAACTGTCCAGAGTGTTTATAATATATTACCAGAAATCTGTTATTACTGTTATTGGGATTCCTTATACCTATTTAACAAGTGTGCGAAGTATCAGAAAAAAATGCTATTACTGGTTTTCAAACTGAAATTAGTGTATACAGTGAAGTGGGTTAAAGTTACGAAATACATAAGTGTTGTAGTAGTACTGATAATTATATTGTACAAATTTTCTTTATAATTTGATGATTTCAGAATGGTGTGTTATTTAATTGTGTGAATGTTATTTTTGTGTTATGTTAATGTTGATTAATAAACAACATTTCTTATTAAAATTATTTTTATAAAAGTTTCCCATTTCCAACAAATAGTTTTGTTACTGGGTGTACAAAAAGGTTTGTAAAAATAAGGTCCTTTTTCGAAAATTACAAGAATTATGGTTGAATTATTGACAGGATTTTACAAAATGTCTGTTATAATTACAAACTACTTATTCAATTACAGTTGGTTGTGAATTTAACATAAAGTTATGTGGACCTGGATTAACATAAAATCTGGTTAATATTTGGTTAAAATTAACAAATATTATTTACTTGTATATGTATGTATATATATGGTATATTTTACCTTAGATTATGTTATATCTTGACGATGTCTGGGATTGAACTGATTTTGATTAAATACATTGTTGACCTTTTTATACACGTATCAACATTAAAGTGGAAAATCCAATTTAAATGTTAAGTGCAATAACAATATTTGTTTTCAGAATTGTTTAAATATTCCTTTAATAATTTTATATTAATATTAATTATTACGCCTCAAAACCGAGTTATATATTTTTTTCAAACTACGTCAAAAAACGCTGCTTTTCCTTTCTTTTTTACCCCCTGATAACAGTGGAATTATTATTATCTGGGAGAGTATATACTTTTTTCTGTGTATCAGTGTAGTTTTAATAATATATTATTAAAACTACACTGATACACAGAAAAAAGTATATACTCTCCCAGATAACAACCGTGAGGGGCATCAATACTCAAATCGCCTTCAATTCGTGCGGAATCATGCGTGACGGTAAAAACGCTGCGATATGATATTCATTTTGTGAAAAGACTGGATTTGTAAAGACTAAATTTGTAGACTAAATTTGTATAAAAAATATACATAATTTTATTTGGATTTCCATTTATAAATTAATTTATCATTAATTTATTTATGAATTTGTAAAAAGAAACCTAATTTTAATTAAAATTAGATATATTTCTATAAATGTAGACAATTGTCACAAAGTTTTGGACTTGCCTGGTCTTTTTTTTTTACAACGTTTCGATTAGTTATTATCTCTAATGGTCTTCAGGTAATAACTGAAGACAATTAAAGATAGTTATAATTATTAGTATACTAATCGAAACGTAAAACAATCAAATTAAGGCAATACAAGTCCAAAAAAAATTTCTCCAACCATCACATGTGCTGGCTTATATATGAACCTCAATTGATGACGCAAATGATGCATACATATATGCTTGCGTACGTGCGGATTAACAATCACGTTGTGACTGCAATATGCGTCAATTATGAACCTCATAATGTTATCTGGGCTATATAAAAGTATATACTCTACACTGTTTAAAATATCTGTGGTGTAAAAAGTAATCTTAAAATGGTGTCAAAATCCAACACCAAGTGGTGTTAATATAACACCATGAATTATGGTTGAAAATGTGTATCGATCGCGGCAAAGGCGGTGTGGACCACGTGATGTTCTTAAATCTCGCCTCTGTTGACTTACTTGAAGAATATATAAATTCAGGTGGTCCTTTGCTTTGGTGTGACACTACAAGTTGTTCGATACTAAAGAGACCTTAAATAGTTGGAAACAGCTGTCAATACTTGAAGTATTTTAAGTTAGTGGAACGCACTAAAAACATTATCTCTAGCGAGTTGAAGGTTCCATTTTCTGGAATAATACCACTGGTAATAATAATAATAATAATAATAATAATAATAATAATAATAATAATAATAATAATAATAATATTAATAACGTTTATTGCCCAACAGTACAAAACCAAAAAGGACATTCAAATTAACAGATAAAGTTTATAATATTTTTTAAAGAAAAGTGGTAAATATCACACATTACACAAATACTAGTAATGCGTCAAGGAACTTCCTGTTTCCTTTTTTTTCCTTTTTTCTGTGTAGTATGATTTAATTTGACCACAAACACATAATATTTAACACTGAAAAGGAGTTCAATTTACACCAGGTAAAATTTATTTTAATACTGTGTGAAAGTTAAATTAACACCATTTTAGTATTTGAATTTACACCGGCCAACGAACCATATTTAACACCATTTTGGTTTGTATCGATATAGACCATGCATGGTGTTAATTTGGTGTTAAAATGGTCATGAAATTTTGAACAGTGTATATACTAACATGTTTTGGTATTTTGGATCTGCTGATTCCAAAAATGACATACATTTTATTCGCTAGGGTCATGTTTTGAAGATATTGCAAAATAACTAATTTTGCTCTTATGCAAAAAAATTAAACATTTTTTTCTTTGGGGCAAAATATGCATTTTGCGCTTTCTTCAATAATTAGCCACAACTAAAACAATTTTGATCGGATCGACTTTTATTAAAATTTGATGTTGCCACATCTTAAATTTTACGAAATAATATTAAAAATCAACTAGAAACACGTTTTTAAGAATTTTTTTCTGTATACCAGTGTTATTGGTGAAATTTAACCGGCTCTATTTAAGGCTGTTGTAATATAAATAAACCAAATAAAAGAGTTGATAAAAGGGTGGCAATTTAAAATTGGCCCCTATTAATTTGTAAAATGTCTTTCCTCATTTTAGTCATGAAAAGAGTTAATGGCATGCAAATTAAATGTCTGTAATTTGCATTTTTTTATAGAATTTTTTAAATACAAGGATTTGCCTTTTGATCAAAATACTATTTGAACGGAGTTTATTTAATTGAAATGCTAATTTAAATGGGTTAAACAATTGAAATAAGATTTATATACCACTTTCTATTTATATTTACTTACTGCATTACAATTTAAATTTTAGAAGCTCAAGCTTAATTAGTACATAACATTTTAATCCTAAATTTTTGTAATCCAAAATTTTTATCTAAAGCATTTATTTAATAATCCCAAATAAAAACTGAAAAATCTCTAAAAATCGGCATTTATCTGCAATATCCAGCGGCCCAGCCAGGTTCCTTGTGGCAGTATCCAGAACAGCAGTTACCTTGCCTTCCGTCAGGTTGGCAGCCGTCGCCGTTGTTGATGCAGGCCAAAACCACGCTTTGGAAGCTTATGAGGGCGAACAGAACCACAAAAATCATACCCAAGAATTGCATTTTGAACGGTGGTGTCTGAAAGAATACATGTTTTTAAATTACCCTGTACAATTTATTTAAATAATAAAATTAAGTATGTTTATGGGGTTTGTATGTTATAAAAAAGTTACCTTAATAAGGTTCTAGACGGCGCTTTAGAATGAACTGATATCAAATGCAGAATTCTTGAGGATATTTATACAAACAAATAATACACATTTTAATTGGAAAAACCAAAATTGCGTGCCTGTAAATATTATTTACCAGGAATAAATTGATATAAATATTGTGTATAAATAAATATGTAAACATGCAATAAAATAAAAGAGATAAATGTATTTTTTTTAGTAATTATAGTAAACTGTGGTTGTAAAAAATCATGACCTAGGCATACAGAAGCTACTACTAGTAGCTGAACCCCTTTTTAGAAAATTCAAAAAATTCCGATTTTTCCATTTACAATCTTTTTTTACAAAACTAACGCAATTGGTAATTAAATCTTTCTTATAAGGATACAAAGGTATTTGAACAAAATTTCAAGAAATTACGTAAATCAGTTGCAGCAGTATAACTCTAAATACACATCTGCATTTATGTATAATGAACAGGTGTGGGTTTACAAGAAAACAATGTTTATTCGTGCTAAAAATAACTAAAATTATTTAATTATATATTGTTGCTACCCTACATTAAACACAGTTCGTGGAAAAATATAATGTTTGTTTACATTTGAATTTGCTTATTTTTTTAAAATTTATATAAACATATAAAAAATAAACTCATCAATGCATTATGTAAATATTTCTGACGAGATATATACTGAATTGTAACATTATTATTGATATACAGGGTGTTTCTACTAAAAATGGACTTAATAGAGGTTTTAGATCTCATCTCATCTCAGTTTTTTAATAAAATATTTTTATGGCCGAATTTTAAAAAATATGGTTACAGAAATTCGGTAGCTGATGTAAACAGTTATTTCAACCAATGAACTTATGTACAAATATTGCTCCTTTCTTAGAAACAGGGTGATACATTTAATATTTTCTTTAATATCTTTTAAAATTTTAATGCATATATAACTAAAGGAAGTACATTATCAAAAGTAGGCATTTATCATTTTTGTTGGTAAAATATTTCTGTTTTTGAATATTTTTCCTGCTCATAAAGGATGCTGGATATTGCTGATGAATGTGTTATAAGGATGTTATGTTTTATTGTTGTTCAATAAATGTTAAAAATACTTTTACTTTAGTTTTATGTGTTCTTGGCTTTGCCTGTAGCAAAAAAACAATATTTTAAAACAAAACATTCTAAGCACACTTGAAACACAAGGCTATAGTCGCCCTTATGCACTGTTTAAAATATCTGTGGTGTAAAGAGTAATCTTAAAATGGTGTCAAAATCCAGCATCAAGTGGTGTTAATAGAAACACCATGAATTATGGTTAAAAATGTTATATACAGCAAACACCAAAACGGTGTTTATCTAAAAATATTTGAGAAGTGCACCTACACAGAAAAAAAAGGAATAGTTCATTTAACTATATTCATTTAATTGACCCATAAGTACTTATTTAAATCAACCGTGGGAAGGTTAATATAAACAAAGATTAGTTTGACGGTACCAAACCAGATGGTTTTTTATTTTTTTTAAATTGGTTAAATTAACCCAGAAAACTTTAGTGAAACCAACCCGCTGTATGGTTTAGTTTACTAAATATGTTGTTTGTAAAATAAGAGTTACTTCAACCTAAAGCACTCTGTTAAAACGATTAAAACAATTTGCCGTGCATTCCTGGTTGCATAGTGTGTACCGATCGCGGCAAAGGCGGTGTGGATCACGTGATGTTTTTAAATCTCGCCTCTGTTGACTTACATGATGAGTATATAAGCTCAGGTAGTCCTTTGCTTTGGTGTGACACAACAAGTTGTTCGACACTAAAGAGACCTTGAATAGGTGGAAACAGCTGTCAATACTTAAAGTATTTTAAGTTGGTGGAACGCAATAAAAACATTATCTCTAGCGAGTTGAAGGTTTAATTTTCTAGAATAATACCACTGGTAATATACTACACCTTTTCCAGTTGATATTCAGAAAGTAGCAATTGATATTCAGAAAGCAGCAATTGATTTTCAGATATTGCAAATGAAATTCAGAAAATAGCAAATGTAATTCAGATATTTCAAATGATATTCAGAAAGTAGCAGATGTAATTTAGATATTGCAAATGATATTCAGACATTAGCAATTGATATTCAGAAATTACAAATATTATTCAGACAGTAGCAATTCAGAATATGTCAATTGAAATTTAGAAATTAACAAATGATAACATTTTATTTCGACATTTTATTGGAAAATTATATTTGTAGCTGAAGTTATCTCAATACCTACTTCATTTTACTTATTTTCTAAGCTTGATTAAGTTCTCAATTTAATGTATTTCTTTGTATATTTAATATTGCTTTGTTTCCATGGAATTGAAAATAATAAACAAATTTATCACCAATTAAGTAGGTATATTTGTCATAATTGTCATCTTATTGCAAGTAATGACATAGATTATACAAAATATGGCATTGAAGGATAATTGTTGCATTTTCCGTGTTCCTATGAATAGAATTGTAGTAGCCGCAATTAAAATGCTGCCCTGTAATTACCTAATTCATCAAAAATGTGCCGAACCAATTCTACAAAATGACGGAAAAGCATTTTGCCCCATGTGCCAATCGGGGAGAAGATTGGGCTACTTTAGCACAAACATTGGGTGTAAAGTATAAAACGGCCTATCACTGGGTGCGAACGGGAGATGACTAAATGAAAGACGTGGTGGAATAAAACGCAAACTTTTGTCCCAAGACGAGATAGACAATATCTAGATATTGTCATCGCTTGGGTGGAGGCCGAATGCGAACTGACATTAAAACAAATTCAAGTTAAAATTCTCCAAATTATTAATAAAAACATTCGCCGTGACTACACCTTTTCCAGTTGATATTCAGAAAGTAGGAATTGTAATTCAGTTATTCCAGTTGATATTCAGATAGTAGGAATTGTAATTCAGCTATTCCAATGGATTTTAAGAGAGTAGCATATGTAATTCAGATAGCACAATTGATTTTAAGAAAGTAGCAATTGTAATTCAGAAAACAAAATTGATTTTCAGAAACTTGCAATTGTAATTCAGAAAGTAGCAATTGTTTTTCAGATTAAATCAAATGTAATTTAGCCGCAGCAATTGTTTCAGGAACAGTGGGTTGCATACAGTAAATCGATGATAAATGAAAGTACACGTTATCTTTATTAACTAAGTAAATGAAATTTATATAAAGTACAAATGTACAAAATTCGGTCCTTACTTGAAATAAGTTGACAATTATGACAAATATACCTACTTAAATGGTGATCTCTGATGGTGATCAATTTGTTTATTATTGTCAATTCCATGAAAACAAAGCAATATACAAAAAAATACATTAAATTGAGATTTTAGAAAATAAGTAAAATGAAGTATGAAAATGTTATCATTTGTTAATTTCTGAATTTCAATTGACATATTCTGAATTACAATTGTTACTGTCTGAATACTATTTGTAATTTCTGAATATCAATTGCTAATGTCTGAATATCATTTGCAATATCTGAATTACATCAGCTACTTTCTGAATATCATTTGAAATATCTGAATTACATGTGCTATTTTCTGAATTTCATTTGCAATATCTGAAAATCAATTGCTGCTTTCTGAATATCAATTGCTACTTTCTGAATATCAACTGGAAAAGGTGTAGAAGTACACCGGAAGTACGGGCATTAAACGTATACCGGGTGGAAAAAAATCCTTTTTTTTCTGTGTAGTTTGATTTAATTTGACCAAAAACACATAATATTTAACACTGAAAAGGAGTTCAATTTACACCAGGTAAAATTTATTTTAATACTGTGTGAAAGTTAAATTTACACTATTTTAGTATTTGAATTTACACTGGATCAACGAACCATATTTAACACCATTTTGGTTTGTATCGATATAGACCATGTATGGTGTTAATTTGGTGTTAAAATGGTCATGAAATTTTGAACAGTGTGCCAAGTCCGCTACATCCTGCTAGTTGATAGCAATTTCCAGAACAACATCCTCCTTGTCCAGGATCACAGGGTCCTCCACCCCCAATGCAAGCCAAAGCCATATCCTGAAGGCACATGATGGCAAACAAAACCAAGAAAATTAGGTGTTTCATTTAGGTGTGCCTAAAAAAAATTATACCTATATTTTTGTATTTATCAAATGTTTTTTGAAATTATTTACTTATGTACTTGGGTTAAACTGATTTTAAATTAATACATTGTCGATCTTTTTATACCTATCTATTTTTTTTATTAAAAATGAGGGTGATGTCGTTACTGCTACATGAGTTTGTAGTTTGTCAATTTTATTTTGTAAAATTTTAACATCATTTTTTGTATAAAACCAGGGTTTTTAACTATTTCAACAAAGAAAAATATTTTACCGAAAGTTTTGTAAAGTTAATAAGCATTTTCTTAATTTCAAAGGTTACAGATTATTTTGTTAATGTTTAACAAATCTTTCTTTGAAAAGTACACTTGATTTCAAGCAGTCAATCAAAACATTTCCCACTGACAAGTTCAACTGACTTCAGCGTCTGCAACTTATGTTTCTGCTTACTTTATTCTAATTCGTAACGTGTTCGTAACAACTGTCCAGTGTTTATAATTATTATTATTATTACCAAAAATCTGTTATTATTGTTATTCGGTTACTTATACCTATTTAACGAGTGTGTGAATTGCGAAGTATCCGAAAAAAGATTCAGTGAAGTGGGTTAAAGTTACGAAATACATCAGTAATTGTAGGAGTTCTGATAATTATATTGTTCCAAATTTCTTTATAATTTGATGATTTTAGAATGGCGTGTTTTTGAATTATGTGTATGTTATTTTTGGGTTCATTTATGTAGGTAGGTGTACATTTTTTGGTTTAGGAAATTGATTAATAAAGCAACATTTCTTATAAAAATTCGTTTCATTTAAGTTCCCAATTTCCAACAATTTGAATCTAAAAAAAAGGTTAGTAAAAATAAGGTGTTTTTTGAAAATTACAAGAATTATGGTTGAATTATTGATATAGGATTTTGTTATTAAATCTACAAAATGTATATTATAGTTACTACTTATTCAATTACAACAGATTACAGTTGGTTGTAAACTTAACATAAAGTTATGTCCAGCTGGATTAACATAAAATCTGGTTAATATTTGGTTAAAATTAACAAATATTTTTTTATTGTGTATTATCAACATTTAAGAGAAAAAACCAATGTAAATGTGCAATTTTGAAATAATAATTGTTTTCAAAATTACTTAAAGATTCCTTTAATACCTATATTTATGAGGATGATGTCGTTACTGCTAAGGGAAAAAAATATGGCAGGAAACTTTTGATTTTAACATGACGCACATACTGCCATATTGCATTCATTTAAAAAACTGTATGAAAAAGAACTTATATATAGTTATTTTTGGCCACCTTCGTTTAAAATAAAGATTGATCGAAAATTGGCAAAGCCTTTATAAAGCATATTGGGTCGAAACTCATTGGTAAGTGCTAATAAATTAAAGTTAAAAATATTTCATAAAAAGCACTTTTTATTTTTATATTTACTTACCGCATTACAATTTAAAGTAGATTATGGAAGTCTCAACTTTTTTATAACATTTTAGACCTAAATAGGTATGTATACATTTAAAAAATTCAAAACAATTAATTCCTATTTAAAACATTTATTTAATAATGACACACATAAAAAACTAAAAATCCGCATTTATCTGCAATATCCAGCGGCCCAGCCAGGTTCTTTGTGGCAGTATCCAGAACAGCAGTTACCTTGCCTTCCGTCAGGTTGGCAACCGTCGCCGTTGTTGATGCAGGCCAAAACCACGCTCTGGAAGCTTATGAGGGCGAACAGAACCACAAAAATCATACCCAAGAATTGCATTTTGAACGGTGGTGCCTGAAAGAATGGATTTTTTGAGTCACCTTGTATGAATTGTTACGTTTTTTAATTATTAAATTAATTATTTTATTACCTTAGTAGTTTCTAGACGATATCTGTAATTGAACTGATATTGTTACAAGAAATGAGAAGTCTTTTTATACAAACACTTTATCAATAATTGGGAAAACCACAAGTATGTAGATCACTTTATTAATTCATATAATTGTTTCATTGAAATTGCAATTTACACTGTAACAGTATGTTTCTCTTAACAAAACTAATTGTACATATTCTCCAGCATACAATAAAAAATAATATCTAATTACTAAAATTACCTTTACACGGTATAACAAACAATATCATACAAATTTTAATTACATTGTAAACACATTTCGTCGTCTTTTTAATTAAAAATTGTCGTAAATAAATTAGTGTCTCGCTGGTATTTATTAATTTCGCTTCTAACAACAAACGCCAGTGATTTTCAACAGATGTTTGAAATTACGGGGCGAAAATTTGATTTAATTCGCTGTTAAGTACGGGGAGAACGAAGACGATAAAAAATTCTTGAACATTATTTAAAACAATTCTTGATAGGAAGCGAAGACAAATTTCAAAAATACATCATCTTTCAGGCGCACATTGGGGCGGATATGGAAAATTGTATTCAGCGCATTCTTTTAATTATTTTAAAATATATACAAAGTTCCATTGAAAAATTTTTAGGGGTGGTTCTACAGTTAAAACCCAAAATTTGGTTTTAACCTATTTATAGTTTATTTATTATGTGAAACTAAATCCGTCCCAATGTGAAACTAAACGCCATAAGTAATTTTTAGAACCTTTACTAAAAATCAAAAATTAATAATTTTGGTTTTAAATATCCTCTTTTTAAGGAATTTTAATAAACAAAGATGATTTAATATAATTTGTGCTCCAAAAAGGGGTGAAAGTAAAAAAATTTGACAACTTATGTCGGTAATATACAGGCTGATTCACCTAACTTCTTTATTAAAAGTTTATAGAGAACGGAAAAAGATATCGATTTAAAATTTGTATAGAAATTATAAAGCAATGAAAACTATTTTTAAAAATTATTTTCAATGCGTTATCACATTCGGTTAAACCTGAAGTGATATCAAGTTTGGTTTTTTAAATGGAACCATATATGTCCACGGATATATCCCTCTATAGAGGGCCCAAATGGACAAATTGACTAAAATTTTCATTTTTCCACCAAAAGTCATTCCTCATAAAAAGTTCTGCTTGTTTTGAAAAGTTTATTGCCATACTTTAAATTTGAAAATATTATACAGGGGAGTAGAAAAACAAGAAAACATGAAATACTATTAAGAGTTAACTACCTTTATTTTTCGTTTTGGAGCATAGTGACAAATAAAAAAAAGTATCCAATAATTGTAAAATTTCAACTCAGAATTCGATATTATATCTTTATTTACTTTGTTCGATAGTTGGCATTTTGAAAATATTTTTTAAAACGAAATTTAAAATTAATTTCTAAAACTGTGTCACTTTGACATTTTTTGTCATACATAGGTAAGAGTCATTCCAAATAAAAACACCAAATGGGGTGCGCTGCTTGATTTTTTATTTTGATAAAAAAAATTGAGGATGATCTTTTAGGTATCAAATATGAAAATCCGTTACCGTTTTAATTTTTGGATTCTTTACTTTTAATCGGCACCCTTTAGAAATCTGAAATCGTGTCAATTTCTTACTCTCTTATAGTGGGCCAGAACTTTTTTTCTGTGACAAATATTAAAATGATTTTAATTTTCTTTTACTGTTCAGAAAGTGTGTTTTCGATATAAATTATTATTATCCAATTAGTTAATCTCATAAAAGAATGGTAAACCACTAAAGATTCATTTTAATTTGCCAATTTTTGTGATTTTTGTCTGGCTCCTGTGCCTATTCTACTAAATCTAGAAAGTTATTTTTTTAGGTATGAAGTACTTATACAATAGAAACCGTAACTATTATTTTAAGATTCTAGACTTCATTTTCTTTATTAAAAAAATTATTGAAACTTGATAATTCTTCAAATTAGTCAATTTTGCCCCCAGAAATCATTATGTTGAGGAAAAAATAAAAATCTGAAACTTTCAGGAAATGTAGTCCCCACTTTCATCTTTTCAGTCCAGTTAGTCTTGTTTTGTTATATATATATACATTATAATGAAGTATTTAATTGGCTAATTAGTGTTTAAAGAAGAAGAATGTAAAAAATATATTCAAGATCCTTATGGTTTATATCGTAAATTATAATAAGTGAAATTAATAAAGCGTTAATTTAAACGTATAAAAAATGCGTTAAGCAGTTTTTTGTCGGTTTCTTTCACAATTTAAACCAAGTTAGTCTTGTTCCATTATTTTGATCCCTTTAGTAAGGCACTGAATAGTTAAAAGTTATATGTATGTATTTTAAATGTAGTGTTGGAAAAATGTACACAATTTGTAAATACTTCTTTAAATTTTAGTTTTTAGGTAACTGGTTAAAATAAAACATGTTATAATAAAGGGGTTTATTTAGAATATTTTTTGGTTTTTGCTTATTTTTAACAATTTAAAACTTCTTAGAACTTGTAGTCTTAGAACTTGTAGTTTCTATGAGAAAGAGGTACAAAATTATGATATGTTCTTGCGTTTTTAATTTTAAATTTTAATTCATGAATTTAGAACACTCCGTTATTTATTACACTTGCAAAACTTGCAAAACTTTTTGAAATCACAATTTAAATACCTACGCACAAATAATATTTATGAAATATTTTTGACAGTTCTGACATTTCTCTACCAAACATGAATTGACTAAGTCAAAGCCATCCAAATTTTAAATTATAAATAAAACTAACAATATCGCTGAGGATGAACTAATTAGATAATAATAATTAATATTGAAAACATACTTACTAGGCAGTAAAATAAAAATATAATCATTTCAATAATTGCCACAGAAAAAAAGGTTTAGCCTCTTATAAGAGAGTAAAAAAATGACACGATTTCAGGTTTCTAAAGGGTGCCGATTAAAAATAAAGCAACTCAAAATTAAAACGGCAACGGTTTTTTAAATATGATACCTAAAAGATCATCCTCAATTGTTTTCATTAAAATAAAAAATCATGCAGCGCACTTTTAAATTCATTTTTGGTGTTTTTATTTGGATTGACTCGTAAGGTTAATAAATTCTGTCAAAAAAATTTAGTGTAAATTTACCTTTATTACAAAAATGACACAATCAATAATACTCAAGTAACGCCCAAATTTTCATTTTTGGACCAAAAGTCACTCTTCGTAAAAACTTCTGCTTGTTTTGAAAAGTCAATTGCCATACTTTAAATTTAAAAGTATTATACAGGGAGGGTCAAAAACAAGATTATTATAATAGGGTTCCCAACTTCTGTAAAAAAAACGGACATTTAGTGTAAATTTACATTAATTACAAAAATGAACAATGTTACAATGCAAATTGTAAAATGGGCGCCCAGAAGTTGGGAACCCTATTATAATATTCTTGTTTTTGACCCCCCTGTATAATATTTTTAAATTTAAAGTATGGCAATTGACTTTTTAAAACAAGCAGAACTTTTTACGAAGAATGACTTTTGGTCGAAAAATGAAAATTTTAGTCAATTGGTCCGTGGACATACTGTATATTATTGAATTTTTAAATTCTACGTAAAATTCTATAAATACTTTTTTTTTTTTTTTTTTTGAGATATTTAATTTTTTCCAAAATTTTGACAGATGTAGATCCCTGTTAACTAAGGAGCACTCTATCAAAAGCCATTAATAATAATAGTATTTGAAAATTTTATACAGGGTGTCTGGTATTTACCTTGACTTTTTTATCAGTTAAATACCAATAAACTTCTTATTTCGAACGAAACTACCATACAATTTTCATATTATTCGACACAAAATAATGTTTTCTATTGAAATGCTGCAGCATTCCCTATACCTAAAATAAATGTTTACAAATATATTACAAAAAATTAAAAAAACTTTTTTTATTTGTTATATGAGTAGTGTGCATTGGATTGTCTTTTATTTAGTATTTATGAAGAAATGTCAATGTCAACGTATCTGACAATTGAGCTACAATGGGTGATAATAATTCCACCAATCAATATATTCTAAACATATTTTATACATATGGAAATTGCGGAAAAGTTTTAGAAGGAACAATTGGACAGGGAATATACAAAAAACCTTTTAATTCATTTCTCATAAAAATGGAAAAATTTTATAGTAGAAAGTTTCGAAATTCGAAATTTGAAAACAAAATATTCATTATAATATTATTATAATATAAATATATTATTTTATTTATTATTAATTTTTTATTTAAATGTCAAAATAAATAAATAAAATAATTTGGAGAATATTTTTTTATTTTCAACATTTAATTTTATTTATTTATTTTCAAATAAAATTAAAAATTAAAATAAGAATTTTTATTTCGTACTTGGATTTGAGTCGTTGACAATAAAATTTCTCTGATGAAGCATTTTTATGTTTTCTTAATTTCTGCGTATGAGCAACATGTACATTTAATTCAAATTTTTGTTAAAAAAAATGTCAGTTTTTAAAAAAGTAGGAGTTTTTATAAAGAATGATTTTTTGCGTAAAACGCATAATAAGAAAGTTTTTTCCTTTATGGCAACCCGATCCGGGGACACTCTGTATATAACTCGATTTTTCTGGGTCTATATTACGTTTTTGGACATAATTTTACTTTAGCACGGTGTTATATAAATTCTAAAAATGTCTTCTTTGGATATAATATGATATAAGTTTTTTAAGTTACTAGATACTTTATTTTTACACTTAGTTTGTTGTAATCCAAATGCATTTAAGAACTGTGTATAATTATATATAATATTTTAATACATTCCCTATGTAATTGATATAAAATATTCACACTACTTAATTAATACATGTTAAGAAAAATAAACTAATAATTACAAAGATATTGT